CTGTCAATAATATACAGCATTTCGTCGTTTCTACGTTTTAAATTAAATTTGTAGAAATTTAGCAACTCACAGGATCAAGAAGATAAGGACGACGTGAACCCGTCCCAGGGCTGAAATAAGCCCTCGTGACAACTTTTGCTGAGTCAGTTTGTTCACATGACAAAATTGTGTCATTTCGCTGGAAAAGAAGGAAATCATGAACTGTATAATGAATCTGTGTGTGAGTAGAAGTCAAAAATCTGTAAGTGGAATATCAAGGGACTAGCAAAAATAAATTGAGACAGGGAGGTATATGCAGTTAAGGAAGCAAGCATTTTGGTTGTTGGTAACATGGAAGAATTGTTTGAAGTTGTGAATGGTGATATTGAGGGCCTTAACAATTGGATGGGGGCAGGTCAAATTGCATCCCATGGCAGTGCAGGGATATTTTTGCGCATGCATTTTGGTTTAACCCAAGGTCACCAAAATGCAGCTTTGGCTGAGCAGTGGCCAAAGTCAGTGAAAATCTGGGATAGGAAAACCCTTTGTTCTTCAAATCCCCCTTTGATAATCCTATATGGCAGGATTGCAGGAAAATGCCACCCACCAGCACGTTTTTTCTTCTTTTTGACAAAGATTTTTCTGCAGAGATGCTAGACAAACAATTTGGGATTTTTCTCAACTTTGGCTCTTACAATCATTATTGTTTCCGGATTTTGCAATTCTTTGTGGCTGAACATTTTGCACGATTAATCCCAGCACCTCTGCCCAAGGTTTAAATTGCTTCCTGAATGAAGCAATTTTCACAAAATTGCACTGACATTGACATGCTTATAAATTAATTACCAGTTTATACCACCAATTTATAAATTAATCTTATGGTAGCATTTATTTGATGGAAGCATTTTCAATTTTTTAAAAAGCTTATGATGCAAGCTGGAATTTTGTTTTTTTTAGTATTTTGTAACTTTAAAAATATTCAGGATTGACTGATTTGAAAATGAGAAAAAACAGAACTTTTTTGAGGAACCATCCAGCAGCCTCTCAGAGGGGTGGGGAGGGGGGGGGGATGCAGTGTGTCATTTTGGGGGGAGGTGGTGTGGCACAGTTGCCCACATTCACCTATATCCCAATAAGGGTGTCACACCAGTGCTGGAGAGATATAAAATATAGATGATTTTTTTTAAAGTGTCACCCATACATTTTTGACCCAGTACTGATATCTCAATTCAGGTCACTGCCACCAATTGGCTACTGATTTGTTACTGGTGAAAACATTGATAAATAATTTGGTGGGCTGGTGTTCATGTGCATGATTAGTCTTTTACTTCCTGTCAAAATGCATCAAGTTAAATTTTTACTGCTTCTCTCTTTCATAGACAAAAGGCCTCAAAGAATACCAATTATTGAAGTTTGAGAGGAAGAGCCCTTTTTGTGGAAGAGGTTTTAAAACATTGTTTCTAAGGGAATTCAGAGGGTGTCTTGGAATATATATGACTGGGGTTTTTAGTTGCCCAGGTTCAAAATTTAATATTGGAATCCTTATAAAATTCTTCAGAATTCATGGATACTCTGTATTCTAGCATTGCATACCTTATTATAAATCTTTACTTTGATCGCAATCATCCATATTAATGTAATTTGTTTTATTCCAACCTAAATTACATTGTCAACAAACAGACTCCTTTGCCTAAAACTTCAATAACGGTAAAGAAAACACTCCTGTTTCCATCGTTATTAACCTTTCCCTGTTCAGGACTTCTTCGTCGCGACGTAGATGTCGCTTGAACATTGTTACACGCTCAGATCGGTCAAAAAGATTCAACTGAAGAGAAAATATTGTCCAAAGCAATTTTGGAAGAGAAACACGGAAAATGCTGTTTTTTTTTTAAATCCACGTGATATTCTGAAGCCGTTCATAAAGTGGCCATTTTAAAAGAGGAATTTCTATTATTCATTCGGGAATCATATTACTTTAATTCAAGTATCATCTCGGCTAAAATTCGAAAAGTACCATTATTCTGTCGGGAGAAATTCCAATGCCGACCCATTGAGGGGTTGTAACGTCCTCGTCACTGCCCACGTCGTAAAGAAAGCTGAACCGAACTGAATCATCAGTAATTCTCTCGTAATTGATGACGTAAATGCAGTTCCTTTCCCGGAAACAGCCGTCTTGAGTGTAGCACTTGAAGTCTTTGGTGCATCCGAAGCACCCTCTGTCCATCCAACAATTTTCGTAAAATTCGTCAACGGGTGTTTCGGGACTCCAAGGCACTGTCAAATTCAGTTTAGGCAGAGCAACCTTCTTGGTATGCGTCCGGATAGGTAAATTTACATCAGCCATATCTGAAAATTCGAACGGGTGTTGCATTTTCTGATGGTTCATCAGCACGCACAGACAGAGCAATATATCCAAATAATTGTCTCCATATCATTTTCCAAACGGTAAAGGGAGAAGATGAAATACTTCCAGCAAGGCACTGAGTCTGTTTTATCCAAAAAGGTTTAAGATTTCAAAAAACTCAATTTTTAGTGTTGCAAGATTCGAATTGGAAATGTGAAACAATTTCTAAAATTTTTCAAGGAGTGATGCCATAATATTGCACCTTTTTGAAAAATAAACCAGTAAAATCTAGTTTAAAAAGACTCACTGGGACTTGAAGCAAGTTTGTTAGCATGAAAAATTTTAATGACAAGATTTTTAAAATTCATGACTGAGGCCATGCTTCCAAATTGAACCTACAAATACAGGTGGACTCTATAACAATCTTGTCTATAAAAAATTTTTCTGTATAATGAATTGTTATTTTGGTCCCATATGGTTCTGTCCCCTTGTTATACTTGGTCTCTACAACAAAATTCTCTCTACAATAAATTTGTTCTGGTCCCTTGAGTTGTGTTGGTAAGAGGCGGCATTTGCAAGGGGTTGAACAAAAGTTATCATAATGGAAATTGAAATTGAGTGTGATTTGTGAATGAGTTGAAAGAGGATTACAGTATTATATTGCCTGCAGATCTTCCAAGATAATTCCACCAGTTTCATTCACAGCCTCCTTCACAACAGCCGATTTTTCATTCTGAGTTGTTAAGACCAGGGGTCCTCAACAAAATTTAGAGTGAGTAATGAAGGAATGCAGGTATCAGCGCAGGATGGGCATATAGAAACCTCCTTCGACTATTAGAGCCTCCTGAAACATTCAGCTTTTTCTAGTCTGAATTAGAGTAATCAGCTCAAAGATATTTTGGAATGCATGTAAAACACAAATGAAGTTCAACAATACGCACAAAATTTGTGTAAAGAGTAGATCTGTGGATTTCGGACCTCTGATATTAATTTCAAAGTGTTGCAGTTGATGATTTCAATTCCGATTTTAACAGATTTTATATATAAATTGCATACATTTGGATGAAAGTACAGTACTAGGTTCCAGAAGGTTGGCTTTTCACCCTTTTCTTCTGATTGGGCCTTCAGGGAGTAAAATTATCATTGATTGGGTTTTACTGATTTTTGCAGGATTTTTTGAGGCAAGTTTGAGCCAAGAACCATATTCAGAATTCTTTTTCATAGCTGAAAGTTATGGTAAACCAATATGTTTTTCAACCCTTGGCCCATGGGCTGGTGCTGGTCTGCAGGTGTTTCTTGCAAGTGTGCAGAAAATTTTCTTCAGCATGACGCATTTTTCAAAAGCAGCATATAAATCTGTCATGTTAATTGGGAATTTTGGAAAGACAATGGCATTTTGAATTATCTAATGAAAAATAAAATTTGGCTTCTCTCCTGGCAACAATTCAGACAAATTTCCACCACCTAAAATATAGTGCATCAATATTTTTCATACTGCACAACCGTACTTGAAGCCAACCTCACTAGTTCTTGAAGACATTTCTCTACAGCTGCTTCTTCAGTTCTCAGCCTACTTTGTGCAAAAAGCAGAAAATTTCCGAAATACCTGTAGCATAAAGCCTTTCGAACAGTAATATTTTCGAATATGCATAAATTTCAGTACACTTTGTCAATGTGCAGAAATAATTTTGGAAATTTTTGAGTCTGCAAAGCATTTTGTGAACTTTTGCAAAAATGTTGTGGAACACTGCTTTATTAGACTATGTTGCAACAAAAATATTGGGCATATATTTTGCCTGAAAATAAAGTGCCAATAATTATTTTTCCTTCAACAGAACATTGATTTCCAAGTACAGCATGTTTTGTTGTGAATACTTGTACTTCAAGTCAGTCGCCAATCGCTGGTAAAATTTAAAATAATTTGACTCACTCAGTTGCCCTGTTGCAAAGAGGAGATGGTATTGATTGGACGAAAGATTGAACGCTGTTCCCTCAACAGTCGTGTCCAGCTTCCTGCTGTAGCCGCAGACCAGGTGTTCTCCATCGTATATTGCCATGGGATGAATATAAGAGCCCTCTGGCGGCTGTCAACATCGACGACACAAAAAATTACTGGTCAAGTAGGTCTTTGGTTCGTTTTTCATGGGTCACTTATAACAGAGATGCAAACTCACAGATTCCAATACAGTAGGGGTTTTTTCTTTGTTGAAATAAGGCACCGCTTGAATGAAGGGCTCAGTGTCGGAACTCTTGCAAACGACGACAGTGTCACTTCCCTGGAAAAAATTAAAGTTTTCAGTTTCCTGAAAAGCATGGCTTGATTCATTCAAGTGCGAGAGGTTAACCGGGAAATTTGCGATGCGTTTTGTAACTAGAGAATTGCGAAAAATGTACAAAGCCTTCAGAAACTGGATCTTGTGTCAGAAAAAATCAACACACAATAACAGTGATAAACAACTGAAATAGCTGCATTAAAAAAATTTCCTCTTGAACCTCATACGCACCTCATTTTTAGGAAGCTGATAAAAAAGAATTAAATGTATGAGTGTCATGCTGGCATTTTGGAAAAAAAACCTTTGTAAGTCATAAAAATGGAGCATCCTAACTTTGACTTTGACCAATGAACAGAGTTTAGAAGCCTACATTCCTGCTTGAAAGTAAACATCAATGTTTTCAAAGGGATTAAAAGTGCTGTAGTTTAACTTTGACATATATGGTACTTTTCTGTTATTATGAGCTGCAATTTTTGGCAGGCTTGAGATTTTGACAATTGTGCATTATTATATGTGTTTCCCTTTTCTGCTTGCTCTTGTTTCAAACCCAATTATGTTTCAAGTGCCACTTATCAAACTTGATGATAAACCAGGCTCAGTCATCTGTTTCCTGCTTTGAGATAATCATAAACAAAGCTTGCAGACTTTCAGTTATCTGATACTGACGTGCAACAGAGGTTCCATGAAATCCAAGAGTATCTCTTGAATGAAAGGTAATACCCAAAGTTCATGTCTAGACTTGTGAACTCTTTCTGTGATCTACTTGCATTTTGTACTTAAAAGAAAACACATGGACAGAATTAGACTCAAAGCCTAGCAATATAAAAACCCCTGCTCTTCCACCCCAAAATCAGTTGACTACCAATGTCCTCTGCAAGGAGTCCGAACTCCAAATCTAGATACAGTACCCACAAATGTCCTGTTGGTATCTTTGGGAGTAGGAAATTATCTAATAAAAAAGAGTTGATTGAAAGTCTTTCTCCATTTTGTTGGTCTTGCATTGCTTGTTTATTCCTCTGCATTTTTTTAATCAATAAGTGGTTGAAAACCTCTAAGAGGTATTTGGAAATACAGTACAGTACAGTGGGCCCCCAACTTACAACGGGCCCATCTTACGTCAATTTCAACATACGACACTTTTTTATTTAAAAAAAAAAAACCCCAACTTACGTCCGGGTTTCATGATTAGACAGCTTCTGAGGTTCTTCAGCTCCCTCCCACCCAACTATTTTTTTGCACCATGCATGCATACAACTGGTGGTTTTCCTGGGAGGAAGTTAGTTTTTTTTGTGCCAATTATTGCTGAATAACTGTGTTCCGGAGGGATTTTGAATTTTGTGTGTTCTGTACTGCCCTGTGCATTTCATTATAGCTGAATAATTTTGTTTAGGAGGTATTTAATAATTTGCCAGAAAATTATCCATTCTTACAATTTTAAAACTTAACTGTTTATTCCAGGCATTTCAAGTGTGTGAACCAAGCCCTCCATCTGTTGAGATGGCACTTAAGAAAGTTTGAAAAGTTATAACTATCCAAGTGAAAAAAGAAAGGAGTAAAGAAGATGAGAAAAAAAGTTTTGAAAAGTGTTCAAAATAGTGAAAATCATTCTCCTCCTACCCTATTTCACTACCCTACCCCCTATCACTTTTGTTTTATACAGTCTTTCAAACATGTCTTGTGTCTATTAATTCAATTTCTGACAAAAAGTTGAAATATATAAAGGTAATTTTAGTTTAATATTTTTTTCTGGAATGAATTAATTTTTTCATAATGTAACCTTAAGGGAAATAGGGTTTCAACTTATGACAGCCCCATATTATGACGTCCATCCTGGAACGGATTGATGACAAAAGATGGGGGCCCACTGCACTTCCACCTGTCCCTCTATCAATATTTTAGTAGTCTTAATTTTTACCTAACAGTAAAAATAGGATAACACTGTGCGTTCAACTGCAGAGGCAAAATTGAGCCAATTAATTTTCTCATGGCTGGGTATTGTATCAGAAGAACATTCTTTGACAGCTTCTACAATGGATAAAAAGTTTCTATTTTCAGAATTGTTAGGCCATTACGTCTGATTTATAAAAAGGAAGCCACGAGAATAATGTGAGGATCAAATGGACTGTTTATAAATACTGTATTCAAGTTTATGTTATAGAAAAGAATATACAGTACTGTATTTGATGTTTGCACAAATTGGGTCCAGTAAAAAAAGGGACCTGTATCCTGTAGTTTTGTATCAACTTTTCCATAAAAAAAATTCCAAAGTCTGATTCAGTGTTTGCTTTTCATTTTAGAAGAGACTACCTCAGTTATTGGCATGCTCTTTGCTGTGGAGGATATTCAAATAAAAATACCCAATGGCATGCAAATCCAGGATCATAAATTTTACAGAGTATCCTGCATGAGCATATAGGGGCGTAGGTGATTCTAAAAAAAGAGCAATGACAACCCTACAAATACGCATCAATTTATCTTATTTTGACTTATTTTTCATTCAGGGAAGGAATTTATCGTGGCCCTAAATGAGGGATTACCTGAAGAGCACACATAAGGAAAATTTGCTCCAGGTAAAATTCTTGGCACAAAATGCAGGGTTGACTGTACTTTATGAGTACATTTTGCTGTTGCAAATACAGTGAGACTCCCACATGCAGATGCCTCAAACTGAGGACAATTTGACATGGGGACACTTATTTCCCAGAAAAAAACAAAAAATAAGGCCCAGCATGAGGACACTGACTCAACATAGGGGCATTTTGTGATAAAATTGCAAATACATTTCATGCCAAATTACAAGAAACAGATATTTCCAACCCTGAAATTTATGTAAGAAAAGTTCTTGAGCATTTCTCTCACCAAATTACCATCCATTTAGCTAATTAAAAAAATTACCTCCAGCATAGAGGTATACTTCTATTTTTTCACTTGAAGGTTATTTTTATAGATGCAAAAATTTCAGTGCACATTACAGAGATACACTGTTCAATGTCCAAATGTTCTTATTGTTTTAAAAATGTATTCACTAATTCAAATTCAAGTGGCAAGCAATTTTTTTCTGGGAATTCTGAGGAATATTTCTTCCACAGAACATCAATTAAAAATTATGTAATGTAAGCTCTGGGAAAACAAGACTCAACTTAGGGACATTTTGACTTTGGGACACTCTTGATGCACCAATTACGTCCACATCTTGGGGTCTCACTGTATTTCAGGGTAATTAGTTCAAGTCGCAGAGAAATTTTTCTTTTCAAACTTGCAGCCTACATCTGCAAAAGCAATGTTATGTAAGATTATGTATATTTCAAAACTGTTTTAGCTCTGTATAATTAGAGACTATTTATTCAACAATTATTGGAAAGTGAGTGCGTCTTCTAAAGACTACCACCAGAATTAACCACTGGAAATCAATCAAATCCAAATAACTTGAAATCTTAACTGCACAAGAAGATTGAATAACTCACCATTTTGTCATTGTCTGAAATTCCCAAGGCCACATACTGGTTGGTGACATTCCCGATCCTAACGAAAAATGTGAAGTCGACCTCATCTTCGTCCGGAACTCGGGTCGAATTGAAGACTGCCAAAGCATGACAGTTTTGGTTTTCGATACAACGAACGGAATCCCCGATGGACCACTTGAAGGTGTCTGTGAGACCCAAGCACCCAGTCGTGACTCCGCAGCCTTGGTACATGTTTGTTACCACTGAGTTACTGAGGACATCAGCAGCTTCAGTGAATGCCACCATCAACGAGAGCGAAGCAAGGCTTATCGCGAACATCATCGCAATTCTCCTGCTGGAACCGAAAATTCGAATGGAAATGTTCATTGCATTCTGATTCTGAATCATGGTATCCCACAAAAACAATTGCAAATAATTTTGGTCTGCAAAGACTCTAAATGGTATACAGTATATAGAGAGTGAACAGTCCATATACAGGATGGGCAAAAAAAAAGCGGACCAATTTTTGACTGGAAATACCTTGGGAGCAAACCAAGCTCTTTTCATGCTGCCCTTAACCCTTGAAGAGCGGAGGGTTCCTGGCCATCCTGTGTGAAAGTCGAGATCTTTTTAATGTATGGCACATTTCAGTTTGATCAAAGGTAACTGAAATGTGCCCAGGTTGAGAGGGTCTAAGCTGGGAAAAGTCTGAAATGACTGAATCCTTTTTTACTTGAAAATCTCTAATGGTAATCCTATGCAAGGAATCCCTGATAAGTGATAAGTGATAAAAGCCAGCCAGTGAGGGATTTGTTTTACTTTTTAGGCAAATTTTTCTGCAGGATTAAAAATTAGATCAGACTTGTCCTAACTATTAGGCCTTGGTGCAAAAATCAACTTTTTAAATTGGCAGTGCTCATGGTCACAAAATGTTGCAAAAGTATGCTGACTTTGTCACACAAGAGTTGAGAGAGTTTATGCATTCCCAAAACTTAGGAGGGGGAGTGGAAAGCGGAGAAAATAAAATAAATTGAGCAGAGGGATTTTGCCCTACTCCCAAGACCTGTCTCCTGTTGCAAAAGTGCTGCAGGAGCCAGCTGCAAGGCTACTGTGACCCTTTATGCACATTTCTTCCATTGGATTGTGACTATTAGTGAGTGAAACTGATTTTGGAACAATCCTGTCAAATCAAGGAATTATAATGAAGGGGGTCACAGGAGCCATGTGACTGGCTCTGTGGAAAGCTTCCATATGGAGTAAGGACATGGGAGATGAGCAAAACTCCCTGGGCTTAATTTTTATTAATTTTTCCACTTCCTACTTCCAACTCCAGAACTTTAAGAATGTGTGCACCCTCTAAAAGGCAGCAAGCACTTTGCTGGTTAAAACATTGGTCCTGCACACCATTTATCCCTAAAAGCAGGTCTTGAAAACAGCAGCTTATCAGTGGAAGAAGTTGCCTGACAATTTTGTTTCCAGAAAGTCGTCATTCAAGTGGTTCTTGTGACCATATTGTTGCACTTGGACCATGCAACTGCACACCATTTGAAAGGAAATTCAACAAGCTTATATTGGGTGTTTTATTCAGTGCCAGCATAATTTGCTGTCAAGTGTTTCAATCAAAAAATTGGTTCACTTTTTTTGGCCCACCCTGCATACTCAAGTAACACGCGCGTCGAATTAAGACACATGCATCAATTTTTCACCACAAAATTTTCAAGAAATTATACCTCCAAAAAAACCAATCACCCCATTCTTAGTGACTGAAATATACAATGTTTCAAATATAAGAAGCTCCAAAATTCAAATTTGAACATGAATTCCGCCTAAATTTGATGCATTTTCAATTGTTTTGATTAAAAACGGTCGACAATTTCCCATGAATGTACATCCAAGTGTTACACCGTTTTTTCTCTTTCAATTTTGATGCAAAAAAGTTGTGCATTCACCTCAAGTAAATACGGTACACTGAGTAGTGACACACTTGAACAACTCTGAGTCACATTTGGAAGGCACTCCATAAATTCCACCAAAATGTTGAGCTTCCGGGAATTTAAATTTATTTCTTTAGGTTTTTAATCAGCGGAACATTTTTTTTTGGTCATATTATTGGAAATCTTAATTACTTCTATAAATCCCATCTGCAGGAATATACATATTACTACTCAGAGGGCATGACGAAAATACTTTCAATTGCTTTTATTTCAGTTGGCTAACTTAAATTAAGCCCCAAGTAAAAAATATCCATTGATGGATTATATAGGGAGGTTCAATAGTTGAATTTGACTGAGAAAGCTTCAAGATGGGCAGCAGGTTTTAATGGTATTGGAATTCATGAAATTGGGCATGTGTAAACTGGAACCTTTAATTAGGAAGATCCAAAATCCGGTTTTTGCAAGACTCACTGAGCCTCAATCAAGCACAAGAAGTGGTCATCACTTCCTTGTTTTTTCTGAATTGGTCAATCATGAGCCAGGAAGAAACCAACTGATTTCTTCCTGACCCAGTCCAAGAACCTGGCAATAAAAACCTTCATTCCTCTTTGGGAGGAGACATGACAACTTAGTGTTAAAGGGCCTTTCAACTTAAATTACTTCATTAAATATTCTAAGCTAACCAACCAATCTTACAATTGACTCTGCCATTACAACCATTAAATCAACAGCCAATTGATGAACTGGGCAATCAGAATGAACTCCTATGAAAAGAGTTTGAGTTATTATTCAAATTGTGCATTCTGATGACTGCACAATTAAATTCCTTTGTCTGGGATCCAATGGACCAATGACAGTAATGAAGTACTATATACATATGGTATATTAATATCCCATAGGCAAGGCTAGAACCAATGACATACAATTTTTGACAACATAAAAAAACAAGCAAGGAAATTTGGGATTTTGATTTTATTGTGTACTGAATGCCTTAATGATTGAAAATTTTGTTTTTGACTCATTCATAGCATTTTGATGAACCACAATATGACGATTTTGAATTAGAGAAGAAAGATATAGGTCCCAAAAAATTATGTTGTTCCTCAGGTTCCTAGGAAAAATTTATCAATTGTTCCTCTTTCTATCCGCAAAAAATTGCAGGATATCTGCAGGTTATTTTCGGGTATTATTAAAAATTTTTATCCTCGCCGAAGATGCTACAAATAATTCCGCATGCTGGTGATACATAGTAAATGTAGATGAATTCCTTAAATCCTCTCTCAGCTAATTTTTAAATGCAATTTCACATTATTCCCATACATCGGTCCTGAAAATTCCAAGCTAGACCCTGATGCACACTTCTGTAAAAAAAAAAAAACATTTTAAAATGAATTCACGACTTTCTTGTAATTTTCTGCTAGATTACATTCTGTCGAGATCTAAAGCTTTTCACTTTTTCATTGAAAAATCTGTTCCGTTTAATGTGATTCAAGTTTTTCACGCATAGATTCACGCATTTACACTTTAAAAAAATTATGATTGAGCCATCGCAAGTGTTTTTTGTTTTTATTTGAACAAACAATTTTCAGATATTTGGAATTAACTGCGGAATTTCAAAGCTCGACCTTGGATTTCCAATCCACAGAATTCCAACAGTCGAACTGAATGACGCAGGTAAATTCACTCATACTTATCGCCTGTCGAACACCACATTTTCACGGACAAACAAAGCGGAAGAGAACGTGACGCATCGTTGTTCCTGCTGATAATGACACGTACTACCGATGTTTTCACTATATAACGTATGACCTTTGCACTGCCTCAGTCAAGTCACACTTCCGATTAATCCTCCCAGATTTGGGGAGACAAAAACAGAGGCATGCACGAATCGAATTACAGTATTGAGATCAAATGAAAGATTATTGAACTATTCATGGATTTGTATATACCCTAGAAACATTAATCATCCAGGAAACCAGGCCCGGAAGAATCCGCAATTGCTTTCATGAAATACAAATATTTAAAATCAATTTGAAATAGTTGTTGGGCAGCCTGAATTATTACTTCACTTTAAAAATAGAATAAATCTTATTAATGTTATCAAGTCTAAAATTCAGCTAGGCCTGAAACCTGGATCTAAACCCATTTCAAATTTTGTGGAAGTGTACACTTCTTTTTTAATTTAACAAATTTAGTTCCTTGTGAGGAGTTCATGGATATTATGATGTGAATTTGAGTGATTGATATGTACAAGCCTTCTTTTCTGCTTGTCAGTATAAGAAAGCTTTGCACAATTTTCCCACATCCCCCACACATGCATTCAAAACTACATTCCAGTCTATGAACAGAATTCAATAGATATATATTGGAAGAAAATACATAACAGTGCATACAAATGCATGAATAACGAATTGGAATTTTTTATATGCAAAAATACTAACATTGTCAGTGGTCTCAGGACTTGTGAGATTAACTGTGGTTCAAAAACGTATTCCCATTCAAGCATAAACGACCGCGCAAAATTAAGAACAAACGGTGTAGAGCATTGATTGATTGATTTAAATACTTCATTTGCTTCTTTTTGCCAGCATTCACAAGTTTCAGCTGATTGTTCCTCCCATGCCACAAGACAATCACTAAGCACAAATAATGGCACAAGGTATCCAGCCTGTAATCTCAGATAATTTTTAAATGATGAAAAAAATGTAAGCAAATATTTCAGGATTAGCAGGTAGAGCTAGCAGTTTCTTGGTCCTCTAAGATTCAGGAAAGGATCGTTTCCCAATGTTTCTCAGTATTAGTTTGAACAATTGTTTTTTGAAGATTTTTTCATGAAAAAAGTCTCAGGTTCAGAGAATTTCTTTCCCTTATGTACAGTAGTTTAAACCAGTTCTCCCTGACATTTTTTGGGCCTGTGGGTCAGCAAATTCCCATGAGCATTTTTGCAGACTGGCAAATTTTCAATAGAAAGTTCTGCAGACAAGGACAATTTTGTGAACTTTTTGCACACTCAAAAACGTTCTGCATGAAATACTTCATTGCAAGGTGTTGAAAGAGTTCCTGGTTCTTTGCAAAACAAATCTAGTTGAGAAACAATAAAGAAGCTTCAGTGGAAATGTTTTCAAAAATTTGAAATGTGGGCTTGGAGAAAAATTGCTCAGAATGCTAAATTCAGATATAATTTCTTTTGTCAAATGATTATTTGTCTCAAGTATTATCAAGAGACAAGCCAGCTTTAATTTTTCATGAGATAATTTTAATTGCAATTTTCTGGCAAAATTTTCGGCTAAAACAACTGTAGCACCTTCATTGATACTTTTTTATAAATGTATCATGCTTGAGAAAATTTCCTCCAGACCGGCCAACAACATCTCAATAACCACAGGTTGGAAAACACTGGTTTAAACCATAAGAATTTGTTTTTTCTCATTATAACCGGAGTAGAAAAATTGGCCACATGCACTCTTCATGAGTGGTAGATACAGTACTGTAAATGTAATAAAATCAAAGGAATCAGTGGAAAATTTCGGTGCAGTAGTTTTTGACACCACGGGATAAAATGACACTGAACAAATTGAGGAAACCGAATGATTGGAAATAAGATCACTGGCGAGCAGTGCAACACTGAATGACAGTCAATCCACATGCTCACATTCCCTATATTAAACGACTCAATAAGATACGATAATCTAATTTCAGATATGGGCGGATGGACGCGCGTAATACAGTATTACGTTACATGCCTTAAACGTGATGCGACCGGCTGCAAAGGAACCGCTGCACCATTGAGACACCATGATGACGAGGCCCTTACGTGACACGGTTTAATCGGAGCATGGCTGACGTGACAGGTGTTGAGATTCCGCTAAAATTATTTGCTCGATTTGAACGAGACCGCGATCACGTTGCAATGCCTTCCCTATCGTGAGTCAGATAAGAATTATCGTGCATGGGTACAGGAGGGTTGAGGTTGGCATTATTTTGAGGATGGCACGATACAATGGCCAGAGATTTTTGGCATCCGGTGTTTTCAAAATGATTTTCACACAGTGAAATGAATAGAAAACTGTAACGTTACGCTGGGAAGGTTTCCACTTCTCATCATGCAGTGTGATGAAAAAGTCTATAAAATCCAAAATATATAAAAATACAGTCAAACCCCAAATGGTGCCACTGTCTGTCCTCTGGCACATTTTGTGGCACTATAAGCAAAGGCATTTATTTTAGAAGTTACCATTTTAGGAGATATAAGATTGTTTGCAGAATTTTTCTGTCAGTTACGGAGTTTTATGCAAGAGAGTTGAAGAAAAAGAGTCAAAATGAATAATTTGAAGCTCCAAGGGACTTTTTAACCCTTGTGCGGCAAATTCTGAATATATTTGCAAAATTTTGTGTTACTGAGAACTGGGAATTTCAAAAATGCAACTTTTGTACACAGGCCTAAGTTTGGGAAAAAGTCTGAAACTTTTTTTCTGATCCAGCATAAAATTTTGGATGAAAAATGAAAAAAAGCCCTCACTGGGTGGCGCTTCTTCCTGCATTCATTGCATAGGATCAGTATGAAAGATTCCTGAAAACAAAAGAGAATTTGTCTCCCAGATTTTTTCCAACTTAGGCCTTCTCAACCTGGGAGCATTTCAGCAACCTTGGGTCAAACTGAAATGCCCCAACCCCCCCCCCCCCCCCAAGAATATCCTGACTTGACTGCATATTGGAAATGAACCCTTGCTGTCCCAGGGTTAATATTTAATTTTGAAATATTCATCAAGGCAAAATGCACTAAATTTTTGAAGCATCTTGTGAAAAATCAACACTCTTGGACAAGATTTTGCTTGCACTTGAGTTGGTTTCAACTATCAAGTAAAGTGCCATCATGAGGGAATCAGAAATGTTCTCAAAAAAGCTTTCACTTTTTTATCTTTTCAATTAAGGAGGGTATATCATGCAAAAATCCATTTTTCAAGCATTTACATAGAAATAAGATTTTCCACATATTATGTCAACATGAGGATTTGATTCTCAATCATATCCAATGGTATCCTTGGAAAAATGCCAAAGTTTATTTCAATTTCTGCTGATTTTTTTACATCACCAAGACTTTTCTGGCACTGATTGGTTGGTACTAATTCAGGGATTTTTTCAAGTTCAAAATAAAGGGAAATTTTTACTAGGCTATTTTATGGCAGAATACAAGGGTGGCACTGAATCAGGTGGCACTTAATTGAGGGTTGACTGTATAGTAAAAAAAAACCTCAGGAAATTCATGCACAGTAGTTTTCTTTTGTCACCATGTAAGTTTGAAAAATTGAACTATGCATGTCCCTGGGATGATCTGTGTGCAGTATGTACAGTAGTACCTTATTTCAGGTCACATGAAATGTTTCCACACAGGCAGAGGACTTTGGCCAGGTGCAACCCTGGTACATGGCATCAGGCATGTAGAAGTTCTGCTATGTGACAGGTTTACCACAATATGGCAAACCAGTGGTCACACAAGATAGGAAAAAGAAGCAAGGGGGAAAAGATTGGCAGGAGGACTTCACTTGAATCTCTCACCTGCCAGAGAGGACCTGAGGATTGTCATGTGTGACTGACGTGAACCTTGTAGACTGTATTTGGAGACAGTGTGTGCACTGTTCCACAAGAAAAAATTTCATCAAGTCTTGCATCAAGAATTAATTTTCTCATGTATTTGAATAAAAATGCATTATTTCTGCAGGCAATTTGTAGTGAAAGATGTTGGTACTGCAAGATGTTTGTCATTTAGTGGAATTAAATTGTATGAGAAATTCAAACTTTCAATTGTCAACACTAATTTTATGCCAACAGAAGTCTGTTTGGCAGATTTTATACCTTGGGCAGGAGTAAAAACTGCCTGCAGAGCTGGTCTGTTAGGCAAAAATCCCTTACAGGGTAGTTCTGTTAGGCAGAAGGCAACTTTCATGGGTAAATTTGAAAATAAAAAAATTCTCACCCAGAATTGCTCCTCTATTTGTTATTATTTACACCTGCAAAATTATATATAGGAAGGTGTAAGAAATTTTTCACGCCCGCACTTGAAAAGAAGAATGAACGTTTTTCCACACTTTTGGGGGACTGGTCCTGATGGACAAAATAACTCGCCTTTCCCGTTCATGGTGAATAAATGCAGGTTACACCAACAGCCAACAGATGGCGAGGCAAGCAAGTCACCTTCGATGTAAATTTCTCCACCAATCAGAGAAGAGGAACGTAACCGGTTTTCCGCGGGGATAAACTCGTCGCGGCCGGATGTCCAGTGGGTTTTTATTGAGCCTGTTTAGCTTCCACATCAAGAGTTATTACTGTAGTTGTTTGGATTTGGAACAAGCTTGTTTCCGGTGTTACTTCGAGTTGATTTTCGGGTGGTTCTTTGTCATTTTCCTGCCAGTTTTCATCTGGAGGTCCTGAGTTCCGAAGTCATGACCAACAAAATAAGAAAAAATCCTGACTTATGAAGTTATGAGTGCTATGGCTGAATGTTTTCCTGCTGTGTTTGCTCGCATTTTTCGTGCTATATTGTGTGCGGTGTGGATTTTCCATTCCAGAGTATCTCAGGGAAGAGAATCCCAAAAAAGCCTCATATAATTCTCAGTGCGCAACACAGTATTCCCTTACGCCGAAGAATACTGTAATTATGTTGGATATAGTCCTAGCTGATCCGTGATGTTCTGGGTGTTCAATTATTTCTTGAATAGGAGTTTACATATGATGCTGAACTTGTATCGAGAGGCAAGGTTTCATTCCTCACTTCCTTTCAAAGCAAAACAAGTTACGTCTTTCTTGTTTTTTTTCCTGTGTCAATAAATTAGTAAACAGAATGCCTAAGGGAAATTTTTTTCATGTATGTTCGAGGTTGAAGTTTTTATGACTGTATGGGGGCGGGTTTTGGTGCATTCTTTCCAAGGGAATTCAGGTCAAGAGGGATTGGAAATATGAAAAAACTTGAGAATTCGGAGGTATTTGACTTACGGTGAAGCTTATTCAAATACTGTTCAAATAGTTCTTTGCTAACTGGATGAGTGTGTTTTAATTTCTTCCGGATTTGAATGTTCGCTGCAGAAACGGTGTGCTTCCGAGGACATCTTCAATTTGTTTTTTGGAAACTTTTTGCCCATCACCGAATCCGTAATATTCGCGCGTTTATTTTTTCCACGTTCTCAAATAATTGCCAACATAATGACCGTTCCATGTGATATCGTCGACGCATTTGTAATGAGTGAGTACAGTATTCAATTGTGATTTGTAACATGCAATGTATGTGTACAGCATATGCGTGTCTTGCAAGAATATTTGTGCTCCATGGGAAGTTATGAAGCAGCAGAGATGGTGTGGGAGGTTTTGCCTCTCACCGCTCGAAAGAAAAAACTTCCTGAAGGATTGCGACAATTTTGTCTCCTTGACATCGTCACGCAGTTCATCAGGATCAATGACTTGAGTGAGTACAGTAGACTAATCTGGATACAGTAATTTGAACCCCCACAATTGTGGGTGGTTTTGTCCAATTACTCCTTAATCAAGGCCCCATTTGAATTCCCTTTCAAACACTGAATTCAAAATATCTCTCACATTGAAGGCTTTGCCTTTCAAAACTCCATAATACATGCTTTTCTGAAGCCTTTTGGCTATCATATTTTCTTGATGAAAAAAAAGAGTGAAGTTATGAAAATGTAACTCCAATAAGGAATGAAAGACTGATTTTGCAAATGAACCTCTGCTGCCAAGTTCAGCATCCTGTTTGTTCATCTCAGAAACAGTTTAGTGCCTAGAATGTATCCATTTATAAATACTGGCAATTCTTCCGGGGTTTACAAGAACAAAAAGTGCTTGTTTCCCAAATTCAAAACATCCTGAGGTTTAAACCTCTCCAATTGGACTTGATTTGTGTGCATGGTCCCTTGAAATTTTCCTTAGATGAAAGGATTGACTGTGCATAGTATCACAGTCTTTTTCATGACAAGAAAATTCATGGAATCTATTCAAAAACAGTGTTCCATATACTCTCCTTTATTTTCACAGTCAAGTCAAGAGCAAACGAGTGGAGCAAGTACTCGATGCTTCTGGATGAGTCGGATAATCTTTGCGATATTGTTGAAATGATAATGGATCATGCTCGAACTGTGGAAATTCCGGATGGAAGCAGTTCCTACGAAAGCATTCCGGATGCCATCAGCAATTGCGGTGAAAGCATTTCCGATGTAAGCATAGGGCAATTGTTCGATTAGTTGTTTGGAATTAATGTCAGCGGCGGAATCGTGTATACAAACATCTGAGACAAATAAATCCACCTGTGACGTTCGATTCTCCATGACGATGATCTGAAACTTGGGATGATATTAATTTCTGGCGGAAATTCCTGTGAAAGCGCATCTTTTTGGTTCTCTGAATCATGAGCTTGCTCTATATAAGTCAAGTTTCTTGGATTCTTGGGTGAACAGGGGATACAGAACTACAATTAAGGATTTAACAGTGCATCTTTTTTCAGTTTGCTCAGAAGGGCTCAAGTTGCCATCATGATTTACCTTCAGAATGCCTAAGTATGTTGGAATGTCTGCATATCGGATCACATTTTCTGTAAGGCGTCCGTGAGAAAAGTGCAAATCCATCAGACCTTCAAGGGTAAGGGGGCGGGAAAACGAAGAGTTCTTCAAAACAGCGTTCCCAAACCTTTTTAGACCTACGGACTGGCAAATTTTCATAAAATTTTCTGGGGACCAACGTACTTTCAAAACATTTGTTTCAGACAGCCAAAAACATTCCACCTCCCATGAAGCCCTCCAAACAAAACTTTTTTTTTCAAAATTAAGTTAAGAACCAGTTAAGCTGTAGTGCAATGTCTCATAAAAAGAAGGAAAACTGGAAATAATTTCTTTCAGTAGGTGAACATTTTTTAATGTTGTTAAGGGAAAAGACAACTTTTATTTTAATTGGATAAACTCAACCACCATTATTGTCTTTCCAAACCATTGGATAAGAATGAAAGACTTCATCACAATTTCTGATGTATTTATTGTATTATGCTGAATATTTCCCACTGACCGGCGAAATACTTCCGTGGACAGTCCGCAGACCACAGATTGGGGAACCCTCCTTTAAAATTTTTCAATTTTTTTCTGAACTTCAAAGTTTAGAAAACATCTGGGCCTAATACCACGAAGAATCTGAGCTTTTGGCACAAAAGCAGTCCATGAGGAAAACAATATGCATTCATTTACAGTATGCAGATGATTTGAGATAACCCAATGATGAAAAAAATGCAAATTTTTTGCGTTTTGAATAGTTTTCAAGAATGAAAAAATTGATCAGACATATTCTTCATGCATATTTTGGATGAAGTTATTCAAGGGTTTGGAAATTTTCCAAGTTCCGGAAATTTTGGCAGTGTCTATTTCCAGATGCATGGAGACTTTTCTTAGTATGTCTATAAAATGATTGTATGCATCTTGAGGTATCCAGCATACTCCTATGGTCCCCACTGTACACAAATGTCAAGAACAGTGGACAGTACAAGAACATAGTGTACTGTATATCATCTGTTCCAAGACTGAGGAACGCTAATGAAATCATGAGAAGAGAAATGCTATACAGCAATGTAAAATACCTTTGCCAACCACTTTTTCATGATACATTTTCTGAAGAATACATACAATTTCCAAGTGATTTTGCCTGTGATTTGCATGGCAAAAGGTCAAAAACTAATCCAGGATGCACTGGATCAAAATTGCAAGCATTTTCTCTTGGAGTTCCATCTTCTTTTGTTTCCTCTCCCACATTTTTTAACACATCCACTCACGGATTCACTCTTGCTTTAGCTCTTGGAGTACTTTGCATCCCATGAATAACAGCCCCTGGACATTAGCTTACATTTTGAAATATCAAATGGACTGGAACTGATTCAAAATCACACTGATTCCTTGCACATAGCTCTGAAGTCCATGCATTTCAATGAATAAGTACACAATTAGGACAAACCCTTTTTTGAAGAAAAGCCAGAATAGCATTTTTGGTAATATTTAATTACATTCAAACCTTGACAAATTGCCATGACTGCTCAGTGGACATTTATTGGAGATGATGGTTTATTATAAAATCCAACATCAAGCAAAAATGAAGTGACATTGGAAATGCATTCCATATTCTACAAAACACAATCAAGATAACCATGGAATGCCTGAATTACTTGTATATGTACATATATATACTGTAAACATACTGTGTATATATATTTATATAGCAAATGTCAAGAAAAATATGTGATTGCTCCGCAGTCCGCACTAATATGCCTTGGTTTAATAAGAAATACTGCATGGCAGAAAATTGAATCTTGTTGGTGGAATCTTTAAGATATAATAATTTTGCAGGAGCATATTTGAGCTGATCATCATTTTGGCATATTCCATTTATTCCTTGGATGGTAGACGGAGCTTTTTTGCTGCACTGCAGAGTGAGGATTTTTTGAGGGTGGCAGATTCCAGTTTGACCCAAGTTAACCAATATGTGCCCCGGTTTAGAAGGCTCAAGTCCTAAACATTGTGGGAGGCAAATTGTATATTGTTTTCAGGATTCTTCCATGCAAATCCTGCACCAGGAATGCAGGAAAAAATTCCACCCATAGTAAGGGATTTTTTTAATTTTCTGCAGGATCAGAAAATATAATGGACTTTTTGCTGACTTAGGCCTTTGTGAAAAACTGCAATTTTTAAATTTCTTGTGTTCAGTTGCTCACAATGCATTTGCCACACAAAGGTTAAGTAGGGTTTCCAATGCTGCTCCCATTAAGCAAGATTTGATTTTCATAATAACTTGGAAGTTCCTGAGGATTGTGGCTTGACATGGAGGCTCATGGAGGGTGTCTTAATTAATGGTGCTGGGATTTACAGTGAGACCCCCAGATGCGGACATGATTGGTGCATGAAGAGTGTCCCTATGTTGGATTGTCCCCAAGTCAAATCATGTTTTCCCATAGACATACATTGTATAATTTTTAATTGATGTTATATGGGAGAAATATTCTTTAGAATTTCAAGAAAAAAAATTCTGCCACTTGTATTTGATTCAATGAATATCTGTTCAAACCAATAAGAAAATTTGGAACATTGAATGGTGTACCTCTGTTCAGGATATTGAAAAGTTGGCATCTGGAAAAACAACATCCATGTCATAAAGAGAGCTAGAAGGAAGTCCCTCTGTGCTATAGGACATTTTTTAAATTAGCTGAATGGATGGGAAAATGATGGGGAAAAGTACCAAAGAATTTTTCTTGCATATATCTTAGGTTGGAAACATCTATTTCTTGCAATTAAGCATTATAAAAATTGATTTTCCTAAAATTTATTTTTGAATTTTATCCTGGAATGTCCCCAGGTTGAGTCAGTGTCCTCATGTTGGGTCTTTTGTATGATTTTTTGTTAAAAAAATAAATGTCCCCATGTCAAATTGGGTACGTGGTCAACTGCCAGTTGGCGGCTGAGGGGACACAGTCAAATTGTCCCCACGTTGAGGCATCCGCATGTGGAGGTCTCACTCTATTTGGAAGATGTTGTGCCAGACAGCATACAGAAAAATGAAAAAGCAGGGATGATCAGGAGAGACAAAGTCTGGAAAAAACCTACTTCCTTGGCAGAAAGCTTTTTATAAACCTTGGCTTCTGTGTGAAATTTTATTCACTTCCTTTTCATAGGATTAGCATTGAGGGATTTCAGACACAACAAGCTACCCTCCCCAGATTTTTCCAGACTTTGGCTACTCAGCCAAATCTGTGTTTTGCTGACCTTTGGTCAAACCAAAATGCACTAACGTGCAAAAATTTCATGGAACCACTGTGGGATGAAAATTAACCCACTTCTTTCCAAGGGTTAAGGGAGTCTCACTGCACATTTTTTATATGTGAGATTCATTCCCTATTTTTTTGCATGCGTGACATTTTTGGACGTTGCAAAAAAAAAAAAACAGAGAAAAACACATTGCTTCATCTTTAGGAATGATAGGGGATATTTTTGAAAGTGTGACCCAAGCACTGGTACCAAATGATTTCCGCGCAAAAAAGCAAGACGGAGCCGAATGACAAAAGGATGTAGAGCCACATGGTTGCAGAAAAGCTGCCCAGAGGCAAAGTGACCACATCCTGGGACTTCTTGTCCATTCTTTGGTTGTACTTGAGTTGGTGGAACGTGGTGGACTCCAGACCGGCAGCCATTTGCACAAACCTGGTGCTCTGTGATGCAATTCCCGCAGCATGCAGTCGCAGAGTCATGAGTGAAAATGCGTCTGTCAGCGGAGAATTCTCCTGCAGTGTAACGGCTGACTCGCATTCAATTTTCATTCATCACCCGACGACATATTCCACCCAAAAAAAAAGAGAAAAAGGAATCAATTTTCATAATATTCCTTTGAAAATTATTTCGGTACCACCATGGCGAGAAACTCACCCTTGTTGAGTTCAGGGCCGAGTTCTTGCCCCACGTAAAAGTCACCTCTTTCCAAACTTGCGATTAATTCTCGGGATGCCAGTGACGGATTCGACACTTGGGACATGGTAACGAGTCCGAGGTATTTGTCGGGATAATTTTGAATCCATTTGTAGACATTTTTCCTTTCAGCATTGTCCTGAAAAATGGCCTTGGCTCCCAGGGGTTTGAACTGCGCAAAAGTCTCGTAGATTGTTCCATTGTATGCCATCCTGAAAAGCAATACAGTATGAAACACAAGAAGAATCAAATTTAGAAAAGGATTGAAAGCAGAATTTAGAAAGGAATGTTCCTGAAATTTCGCTATATCGTGCATCATTGCTCACTAAAGCCTGAACATCTTGGAAAATACAGTAAAATCTTTTTACCAAGAACTGGCAGGGACATGATGAAAATGCGTTATAATGGGATATCCACTGTTTCATGATTCTTGGTTTTTAACTCATTTTAGACTCCAATTTCGTTGGCCGTCGGCAAGAAAAACTATAAAATGCTTCTATAATACCACAGAAACCTTATAATTTCCAAATCTCTCTGACTGAACAGGAAAGAGAATTAATTTCTTGATATAATATGGTTCCTCTTATTCAACTTGCCTTTCTACTGAAGTGTCATTTGTCTTGAAAAATGAAATGAAAGAAGTACAAATGGGAAAAATACTTTCTTCTCAATCAATACATTCATTTATATAATAATATTTGTTCTTTCAAATACAATATATCAAAATTATTTCTAACCTCAAATTGCTTATCTGAAAGAAAGGCATTATATTCGCAGATAGAACCGCATCCTTCCCAAGAATGTCATGATCAATCTTCTGCGTAGTTTTTTTTTTTACATTGAATGTTGTCTAAAGAAAATTTTGCTTCTTTTGATGGAGTTGAAGTCCTGCATCATTTCCATTTTTCAATTGTTTTTGCCATTGATTATAAAATAATCCCTTTGGTCTATGCACAGCATCAGGGTACAAAATTAAATATTCTTCAATGACAACCTAGAACAAGTTTGTCAAAATGAGGTTTTTGTGGCATAGCGCCTTTGAAGAAACTGAAATTCGAAAAAGAAATAATTTTTTGGCACAGAATTTGTTGCAAGAAGATTTGATCATTTTAATGGAATTTTACTGCATTTGGCATACATTAAAGTTGGTTTCAAGCAGTTTTAACCCTTGGATGGCAGCAGCCTCCTTTCCATCCTAGGGCAAACTTTGAATTTTTCCCCTTGTCCTGCATAACATTTTTGCACAAGGTTATGCAATGACCCCTTACAGGTGGAGAAGGGCAAAGTTGCATTTTATCCAGTTATAAAGAAATGCTGGGAAAGTCCCAAGTCAGACTTTTTCTATATTGACCTCTAACCTGGGCTGTTTGCTTTCAAGCTTAAATTCAATCTCTGAATGGAGGAACAAAAGAAAGCCAGAGGAATGAAAAACAGAGCCTTGAAGATTTAATTTTCCATTTCCAAGTGGAAGTTTTCTGTGGGAAATTTAAAAATACCAGGATTTTTCCCAACTTTGCCCTGAACACACTTTAATGGTTTTTTCGAATGCCATTCCTGAGTGCAACCAAAATCTGTAAAAAAAAGTCCAACTTTGTTGCAGAGCAGTTAAATTAATTAAAAAGCAGAAATCAAATTCAGCAGAAATTTATTTCAGTATATAGTATTATCAAATTTAACAATTTGAGTGCCTGGAAAATAAATGCCCACCATTGCTTGTAGCCATTGATGACGTCATTTGTGCTTTCAACGCTTTTCTCAGTGAGTGGATCCATCAAGCGTTGAAAGTACAACTCATTGTAGATGATGGCAAAAAAGGTGAGAGCAACAGACAGTCCTCCATAAAGAACCCTGTAACTTATGGGCTTCGGCTTCTCCTTCTTGTCCTCTTGTCTCAGCAAAGTCTTGACCATCACCATCACGTTGTCTGAATAATTAATTATGATTTCTCCGGTTCTCTTGGAAGTTATGTTGGAGATGATCCGATCTGTGACAAACACAGCAATGGTGACGATGAAAAATACAAGCCAAATAGGAACAGAGATGGTGGTGAAGGCATCGGTTCCATGATTGAGTTTCAAGGGTCTGGACTGGACCCACATGAGGTTGCTGTATTCATAGGGTGTGGAAAAGTCCACCACTTGTTCCCGGTCGTATGCTGTACTCAGGGAGATGACAAAGTCCAGCTCTCTTCTCTGAACACGACCTGTTTAAATGCAGAATTTGACAAAGAAGATTTGAATATTAGATCATGAATTGACTGAGGAAAAGCCCAATGGCTTTGTGAGCTTCACAGTCATCTCATTCCAGGTTCAAATGATATTGATTTCAGAATATATTTCACAGTAAAATCATTTTAAAAACAAATACTGTAACGTTAAAAAACATTTTTCAGTATTAGGAGCATTTTCTGAAGATCTGACTGAAAACCAATAGATTACTTGTTTTAAAAAATCTGGTTACAAAAAAATTCCCAGTTTCAGCAAAAAAATCAACATTCATTTTTTTGAGGAATGTCAATAAATTTTCCAAGCAGGAATGTTGTGCTTCAAGGCAAGTAGAGACTGAAATTTTTAATCCCAAGTGTGAATGATCCGTTCTTTAAACATGAATGGAAGTTATTGTGAACAATAACAAACATGCTTCCAAGTAGTTTGTTCCACACATTTCCTTCCCATCAGAAAAAAGAACTTTCCACAGCATCCTTGCCATGGAACTGATGGATTGCATCATTGAAACTTTTTTTCAGTAGCTCATTCAGTTTTCCAAACAGGACAGTACAGTCAACCCCCACTTAACAGACCTCCAGCTTGTGAGATTTTTGACTAACATATACCACCTCTTCAAGAAGTTTTTCCTCCTGCCAAATGGACAAAATCCTCTTATTACAGACTTCTGCTGGCTTAAAACAACTGAAATGATAAGAAGTAAACATTTTCATTTTTTATTCTTGGATTTGCATAAACAACTTTTAATGGAACAGACTGGTCTGCTGCACATAAATCAAGTCCATTGTGCAGGGGTTGACTGTAATAAGAAATCTGAGAATTCTAGAAAAAACAAGATCTAATTGATTATAGACAGGTTACCTATGCTGTTTCTCAGTCATTACTTTATCTCCTCAAGTTTCACACACCCTTATGTAATACCTTCACCCTTATTTTCCTCCATGCTGAAAATCAAGAATTGTGAAATTTTTTGCTTGGCTCCATATTTCAAATTTGATTTTTTTCTGTTTTTTTCTGTCTCTAGGAGAGGTGGAAATGACCTTGCAATATATGGCTGCTTCCTATTTTGGATGAATATTTTCCCCTTCCTCTACTTCCTGTTGAATCTCCAACTGATACACATTCCTGAAATTGTTATTGCTTGAACCATTAGCTTCCATGTACAAGGAAACTTGGTGCCAAACATTTTCTTTTCCTTTTTTCCCTATCATTATTTTGTGAGGGACACTGCTTTTCAGGATTTTCCTTTTAAAATTATATCCTGGATGAGTACCACGCTTACATTATTACTACACCCGAAGTAATTTTCTTCCCTTTTGTTGAGGAATTAATCAACCCAACATAAAGAATTGAACCATAACACAGTGGAAGAAAAGGTGCTGGTAAATAATAAGGCAGGGCAATCAGCCGGTTTGCGGCCGGGAATATGTAATTAAGGGGGTACCTTAATTACATATCCCTAGTTTTGTCTGGTTTAATCACAGTCCATAATAAATCACAATCAAACACAATATAAAAATAATGCATTACAATAAATGCAATAATGCAACACACATTCAATAAAAACAATACATTTGTGCACACAAATTTAGGGTGCAATAATGCAAAGCAACAATTCAATCAGAAGAATTAGGGTTGGAATGTTTCGAGGGAAGTTTTCTGTTGAAGCTAATTTTAAGGACTGATTATTGGGAGTGGAAGAGTGCTGGGTTTTTATGCAATTTGGCACAATGCTTCAGTCAGCTGATCTGACCAAAGCATTGGACGTTTTTTCTTGCCTGTTATTGGCTGGAGAATTGTGAATCAAAGAAGTCACACATCCCTGGAGCAGATGCACTGTGCGAAGGAAAACGGGACCAGAATGCAGGTCCTGGGACCTGATGTCCCTGGACCAAAGTTCTGGTTCCCCAACAACTGTATCACTGCTAATTCTGACCCATAGATGCAGTGAAGAGAATTAAGTTAGGTAAGTAGGAAATTTCCGCAGGCTGCTGGTGCCCTTCCCTGCTGGGGACATTATTTTTTGACCTCATCAATTTCTTGCAAAAAGGTGAAGGTACTCAAATAAAAATGGAGTAATTTCAAAAATCTTGTCAAAGCAATT